GACCCCGATTTCGACGAGAAGCTCCACCACTCGACACAGTGAATCTCGGTGCTCCCCTGGGTCGAGCCCGAGAACCCAACAAACACGGACTCCTCCACGAACTTGCCGAGGTCGACGCCGTAGGAAATCACGGGGTCCAAAGGGCGAACAGTCGAATACGAGACGAAAACCTGCAAGATTCCCTTTTCTGTGTAGTCCAATCACAAATCCACTTTAAAGTAAAACCCGCCGCAGTCCAGATCCGCGACGTTCGCCGCGATCTAGCTATTATCAAAATCACGTCCCACGTGTTCCCATTGATAATCTCAAACGGAGTATCGAGTGCGAACTCGACGGCGACGGTCGGGGGTTGGGTGCCTCCGGAATCAGGGCCCAAGGAAACGCCGGCGTCGCCGATCGGATTTATGTCGGCGCAGAGGATGGAAGGCATCCCGCCGCGATGGAGCCGGGTTTCGGTTGGTGAGAGAAGGGAAAGAGGGTGGAGAAGGTACCGGGAGCCGTTCCGGGTGGCGATCTGATCGGGTCCGGAGTAGAGGACGTCCGCCGAGTCGGGTGACGGGGAGCTACGCGTACAGGTGTACGCTGCCGTTCTTCACATGCGACGTCGCCGATGAGCTTCAGGCTGCTGAGTGATTAGCGTAGGCGAAGTCGATTTGAGGGCGACGGTGGAGTGAGGAGCAGGAACAGGATAAGGGTGAGCTGTTCCGGCGGCATTGTTAGCTGATTTGGGGAGCCATGAGGGAGTCTTAAGAGAGAAGGTAGGTGAAGTGGGAGGAGAGAGAGGGGAGAGAAAATCTGAGGGTAATAGTTAAGAGATGAGGATGAGAGGGGGAAGGGGACAGGTGGGTTTAGACCCGCTGACACGTGGCCCACTCGCAACGGTAAACTCGGTCGGGGGAGCGTAGTGGGAAGGAAGTGACCGCGGTCAGTTGGAGCCGGGTGTGGGTTTGTTTTCTCGGTTTGTTTATTGAGTGGTCGTTAGCTTTGTTGACTACAGTCACCGCTGTCCAAACTAATTCGAGCTGATGATATAAAAGACAAAAAGCCTGAACGGGGGGGGGGGGGGGGGCGGGAGGGGGGGGGCGGGCGGGGGGGGGGGGGGGGGGGTACGGAGCAGAGGCAGCAGGGGCACGGGAATTGCAAGTCGACTGGCAGTGGGTCAGGTGTTTAGATGATCGATAAGGCGGCGATGAGGGACTGGGGTGATTCGGTACGAGAGATGGAACGAGGAACATATGATGTTTTGTGACAATGTGTCGATGACGAGATTGCTGGGGGCCCAAAATTATATTATATAATTGAAAAATGGCTATAAATTACTTCTAATAATTTCCGATTTTGGATGGTGAAGGGTAGAGTGATGGGCAAGCATAGTAGCTATCTAAACAATGAGAACGAAACGGGTGACGCTTTCATTGATGAGTTTCCTTGACGAGTAACGACCCAGCATCGCCCTTTAATATTCCTACAATAGCTTTCCTTTGTGTGCGATGAAAGAAATATGCAGGGCTTGTTGATGCTTGCCTTTGAGATGGAGCATGGAACCGTGGGTCCCTAGAGCTTTCTAGCCTCCCAACTAGGAGTTGCAACTTTGATCAGATATACATATTAACTCCGTAAAGTTGGTGGTCCTGCTCGGTTAAGCTAAATTATGAACAGAGTATTACCTGTTTAAATTAAAGGCTGGCCCAAAATACTCGCGATGACCATCACAAGGTAGAATGTGGAATGGAATTTTGAGGATTTCAGCCTTCCGTTGCATTATTGATTGCAGCAGGGCTATTCTAATAAATATATGTTCTAATCATTACGTTTTCTTTGGAGATGAATTGCGCAAGTTATTCAGTTAGGACTCGGCCTGCCTATAGAAATATCAAGGTAACAGCTGCACCTCAAGATATGGTTCGCATTTGACTAGGGAAATTGGGGGGAGTGCAGACAAGAGAGAGAGAGAGAGAGAGACAGCCAAACCGTTAGTTCAGAAAAAGTCATAGGAGCTGTTTAATTGCATGAGGGAGATATTTGGCACTAGATGTCAAAAGGCAGCAGAGATGGGCTGGAGATGGGCCCTTGAATAAGGCAGGCAACAATTGGAGCAGACTTATTAGCAGTCTGGTTTAACTTGACGCAAGCCTTGTCTACGGAAATAATTGAATAAAAATCATTAGCGCATAGATTTACGACGCACAACAAACCATGTGCTCACAATCTGATCAAAAGCTTTACCTTGCTTTTGCAGCCAACTGATTCTTTCATCATAACTAGAGGTGAAGGCTTGGAGGAAATATTTGCTGCTGAAATGATATTTGCAGGTAACAATCAGACGGAGAAAAATAAAGAAAGGAACATCAGTGATAATTGAAAAGATACTGGAATAACTCCTCATATGAAAGAAAAAAGTAAGCAATTTTGAGTGTTCATTCACAAGCAAGCAAACCCGAGGACTTATTCATCACAAGTAAATCATATACATTGCAAACAAAAGTGTGACAGCAGGAAGGTAAGCATTTAGGACAAAAAAATGAAAGAAATATACCAACAACCTCATTCGTAAGCAGCAAAAACAGGCAAAAGAGCATGAGATCGTTGGCCTTTCTGATCCATTAGTTTTCCTACTTAATAGTTTTCTTCAGAATAATTGAAAATGATATCAGGGCCACCCGCTATATATCATCAGTACCTTTCAAAAAGTCTCCTTCACCAATTCTTTGCGCGTTTTGAGGATGGGTGGGAGAGGAGCAGTGATTTCAACCATCTGCAAACGATAAATTGTATCAGCAATTAAATAATTCAATTATCGTCCATTGGGGCATAAAGAGTTGTATTCGTGCTTCTTTGGGTTATAACCTAAAATTTTGAAGTGATTATATAAAAAGACAAATTAGTAAAAACTAGCTTTAATTTTAGATTTGATTTCGATTTAAACCTCATAATCAGTGATTTCAAGACCAATGATTAAACTAAAATGCCTGCGGGCATGGCTACACTCGTCTCTTTGGGGCTTGAACTGCTTGCCTCAGATAGTGCATGATGTAAGGCATGGATTACGCTTATAGCTTACTGAACTGCCTTCACTCGGAGGGCATCATATTTTGCTGTAACCTACACTCGCACCCATGTACCTTGTACTTTACACTTGTGCGCTTTTGGCATTATTGATATTCAAGAAGGGAAAAAAAAATGCAAACTAACCCACCTAAACATAGTCAGAATGTCTAGGTCACATAATTTCCAAAACAACAAAGGTTAGTCGGTATGGATTACTCAAGGCCCAACCTGGAATTACTCCAAATAACATGATTTTTCAGTGTCATTGCAGCATAAAGTAGGGGTGCTAAACCATATCTGTATCTAAAAAAAATATCTGTAACAATATCCGTTAGGGTATGAATATAGTTACTCAAATCTATAACTGATAGGATAGGTTACAGATATTATTTGTAGTGAAATATCTGAATCCGTATCTGAAATATCCGAATACATATTAATAATACTCTTACGATAGTTTTAATTCTTAGATTATGGATTTGTGGTTAATTTTGATGATCAAGATGTCTAATTTGAGTTTTTAAGTTATAATGAACATATTAACGAACTCTTTTGTATCACATGAACTATGTTTTTCTCAATACTATCTTGTTTTCTCATACCCGTTTTGTACCGGCATGCATATCCGCTTATTTATCCGCATGTATATTTGTAACTGTATCCGATTTTAACGGATATGGATATAAACCTTTCTTGCCGAGGTATATCCGTATCTGTATACGGAATGATATCTCACAACACTTTTTGGATACGGTTCAGAGTAATGCAAGAAGGTAGTTCTTCAACAAGCCATTTCGCCAGTAGTCACTTAGGCAAGACATGTCTTCGACATATACAATCATTCTCCATGGATATGTCCTCCACAGGCACGCGCTATAACATGACTTTTAGACCGTTGTGGCAACAGGTAGAGAGAGACACTTCCTAAACTAGAAATTAGCCTCTAAAATCCTCGGAACACCAAACCATTCTTGCATGTAATATAGTACAGATCAATTAACAATAAAATTATAGTCCTAAGATAAAAATCTACCATGCATGCTTGTATACCTCATTTGTGGAAGGATGACAGAAAATTAGCCGATGTGCGTGCAAATGATAACCACAATCTCCAGGCACAGGCCTCACTGGCTTCTGATAGCCCCTACAACCAAATATCAGCAATTAAAAAAACATAGCAACAAAGAATAAAGGAGATTAATTCAAACTTGCCATACAAGCAAAAGAGTAGGAGGCACAAGGAAAGTAGCACATGATTTATACATTGAAACATAACTAAATATTTTAACACCAAAATAAAAACTGATAATTTCATTCTGCTATTTCTATAATTAAAGAAAAAGGAGGTAGCTCTTGCAACTCAAGATGACATCTAGAAGGAGAATTTTTCAAAAAAAAAGACCCATTTAAAAAATAATTAGCAAAAATAACATTTTTGCTAAATAATTAGCAAAAACGACTCTCTTTTGCCACCTCACCAAGATTGACCAAAAAGAGGTCGATTTTACAAAAATTGATTTTTTTTAAATTCACGAGACTACTAGTCTCGTGTATTTAGCAAGAGTTAATTATAAATTTAATTAAACTCAGAAAATACAGAGGACTAGTAGTCCCGTATTTATATCAAAAACTTCGAGTCTTGCTAATAAAATAAACAAGACTATCGTTCTAGTGTTTTCAACAGAGAGTTTGCCCTCACCCAGCCAATACATGGGACTAGTAGTCCCGTGTATTTATCACCCCTATGTAACCCCCCACCTCACCCTGCGGCGCCCTAATTCTCCAGCCCCAAATCAATCTTTGCGCCTCACTCGCTCGCTCTCTCTCTCTCTCTCTCTCTCTCTCTCTCTCAATCTCAAGCTCAATCTATCTTACTCATTTCTCTCTCTCTCTTTCTCTCTCTCTCTCATCTCTCTTAGATAGACATGCATGGCGACGAGTTTGTGAGTTGTTGAGGGTAGCTCCACCCTCTTTGCCCAGAGGTAATGTTAGATTGAAATTTCTAAAAGATACTTTCTCACACCCATTGCTAGCAGATGCATCCCATGTCATGATAGAGCAACATATACGTGCATATATTTTGCACATAACCATGACGTTTTTATTTCCCGATTCTAGTAAAGATAAAGTGCATATCACGTAATATAATTTGTAATTTGAATATTTATATAATTAAATTGTTTACTTGAATAGAACTAAATGAATTTTTAAATATGATAGATGTTTACCACTTCTCGAGGACTTGGACATTTACGGGACATTATCATGGGGTAGGGCTGTTTTAGTATATCTGTATAAAGAAATGTCAAAGGTGGCTTTTAGTCAAAACAAAGAGCTCAAGGGGTGTCTGACTTTATTACAAATTTAGGTGTGGGAGAAACTTATTTTGAAATCAAGATTATGCGAGACATGAGCTTTAGATGGACAGATTTAAAGGAGCTGGAGGTAAACACTTTTAATCTAACCAATACATACTTGATTTAGAATTATAGTTGCGGTTTTAGATGCTAAACTTTTGATCATTCACCCAGATGGAACGTCCAAAAATGTTATAATGAGACCCCGATAAGACATTTAGATCTTTTTACAGAACCGAGCTTCATCGCATGAAGATTTATTAGATATCAAATTTTATTTTAAAAATAAATTAATCTACCACCACTTGTCAAAGAGATACTAATATGTGAAATATTTTCTAGTTTGCGTGGCAGCCATACGGTAATCACCTAGCTCATCTATCATCAATTTGCACAAAGGACCAAGTTATATAGAGAGCAAGAGTTCCGCTTATATGTTTTGAGATTGTGAAGATGCATGTGCCGGATCGCATACTTAGATAGTTTGGTTTGGCATAACGCGTTCTAGAAAAAACAATAGACAGAAAGGCTAAGAAAAGCGAGAATCAGATAAACTGGGCAAATGTGCATCAGTACATACACAGATGGACATGTCAGCATTTGAGTATCATGGAGAAAATTGATCCTACTCTTCAAAAATCAAATTACATCAGATGGTATCGGGGGATTACTAGAAGATGGATAATAAATCAGACCACGACTCTACCGATGAACCCTTAATAACGTGCCCCAACTGAGATATGTGCCCAGAAGTGTAAATGAGAGAGAACTTGTAAGTTATCTACTATTTAGTCCACTTATTTTGTATTACTACAATTTACTTATATATTTAACTTTTTTGACTTAAATTGTAGATAAATGCTATCAATGATATTGAGGGCATTGTAAATGAGGGTTTAGCACTTTCTTTCGCAGGAACAGATCCAAGAATACATGCATATCTGTATCAACGAATATTGTCGAGGTTTCGTAGAACTTTGAATCGAACTCAAGAGAATCTTCATGATGGTTGCGGAGGTAATTGCGAAGGAGGATCTTTTATATGCACGTCGACCAAATCAACGAAGACAAGATGGAACTTGTAGGAATAACGAAGACAAGATGGAACTTGTAGGAATGACGATGAAACTGGATCGCCACAACCACACATGCAACCGGAGAGTGAACTAGTGCAAGCTCAAGTCCATGAAGAACGATGACGATATGAGCAGGTACGTAAAGGGAGACAAAGGGGAAGGGGCAGACTTCTAGGTTGTATGTGATAGATTTATGTATGTTCTGTATGAACTCTATTCAAGTTATCGATATAGGTTATTTGTAAATAAATAAATTTGATATATTTGGGTTTGTTGCAATATTTTGGTGTATGGATATATATATGTGTTGTTATGGAATGTTACCTGTTGTATTTTTTATGTTTTGGATTGATTAGATGTGTATTAAATTATGTACATGATTTTATGAAAATTATAAGCATATAGAGATTATGTTGTTTGGATAGGTATATGAGGTGAATTAAAAAAAATTAAGCATAGGAAATATTGTATATATGCAGGAGATAAGTTAGAACAGATGCATACATGTTTTGTGCATGTCATGAATAGTTTGTAAAATACACAGTACTAGTAGTCTCATATGTTTTCTAAAACTGTTCAAAGAATGCACGGGACCACTAGTCCCATGCGTTTTTTGGGATTTGTTTAAAGCCTGATTAGGGTCGTGTGTTTTAAACAGTATTTTTTGCAAAATCAATCACTTTTTGGCCAGCATTGGTGAGACGGCCAAAAAGAAGTCGATTTTGCTAATTACTTAGCAAAAAGGTCGTCTTTGCTAATTATTTTTTAAAAATAGCCTTTTAAAAAAAATTCCCATCTAGAAGTATCTGATGAGTAGAGATGAGGGTTGATGGCATTTACTAAGAGGAGATACAAGAAAGATTGTGATTTCAGAATTCTGAGGAAGATTCCGGTTGGAACTCATTAAGTTCCACTTTTTGTGCAGTGAAAAGTTCCTTTGTAGCATTTACTATGGTACAGATAGCCTTGATTTTTACCTTTACATGGCATGTCAGAATCTTTTAATGTAGACAAAACATTGACGAACAGGATACTAAGAATTTATTTCAAATGAAATTTTGGATAACAAGTGAATCAATAATAACATCGAAAAATTCTCAGTGCTCAAAGAACAAAATTCAAAAGCATAAAATCCACCAACCATAAAAGAAGGATGCACATGTGTGCACACCTACATATACGCATATGTTTTGATCTCATCTACTCAAATGCAAAGCAATTTCCGGTCCAGAAGGAGACTGTTCTGCTATGCTTTTTGGATGTTGACGACTATAAAGAAAATTATATACAAGAGAATCAGGTTATTTGTTGAGTTTTGAGGTACTCAATCTTTTATTTCCAGTAGTCAGCAAGATAGTAACTAAAACACCATTATCAAATGTATTAGTTATAGAGTGCCAGACTTAACTTTTGTGATAATATCATCCCCTACTACAATCGACGCTAACACAAACAGCACAAATCTTAACATAAAAAAGTATGTACAATAGCAATTTTTGCAGGATAAACTGACTAAATATATTTACTTACCCATCTTCTGCAAAGCTTGCATCTATAGGTACCGATTCACATAGTTTAGGAATTCCACCAATACCATAAAGAGGATCACCTATTTAAACAATTTAAAAAGAAAAGAGCCTTTGTCAAGTATCAATCAAATTATGATTAGGAACATCTTCCATAGCATAACTATTTATTGCAGTACCAGCTATTAATGAAAGTATTTCAAGCAGAAGCAGGAGACCTAAGTACTTAAAGCAACGAACAGCAAATGAGAAGTTCAACAAAAGGTCAGTGTACAAATGCAAATATTGTGATATCAGTTCACATATAAAATGAATAGAGAAGCTAACTTACAGATAAACCACCATATGAATGACAATACATGGGAGCGCATAGTTAAAAAAGAAAATTAAAAACCTCCAGCTATTATTGGTGAAACAACTGAGTTATAACATATAAGAAAAAAGTACCTATTAAAACTAGCAGCTATGCATAAGTCGTGTGCGAGTGTATGCGCTGCATATTATTAAAAAATAAAAAAATTGGAGGTATACTGACATATATAACAAAAATACATTGAATAAATTTACGAATGTGCACTATGTTTGAAAATAAAACAAAAGTTTACTTATACCGACAGAAATGTGTGTGCAGACAATGCAATCACAAACATATGTACGCAATAACTACACACGTCCAGCAAGTATAGAGAGTCCCACACACATGCTCATATCCCTCTCATGAAAGAGGATCAAGATTCAAGACTTGAGACAAGAGGTTGACTACTGTGTCAACTATTCTTGATGAAATAAAGAACCCTAACATTTCCAAACCGTTTCAGTCGATTTCCAAGTATTGGGTCGCATGCACAAAGGATGCAAGGGCATGTGTCATCTTGTTGAAGATCCAAAGGAGAATAATTAACTTCATTGAAATTGAAACTGCTCATGCTACAAAAGTGTTTTACAATCTTACATGAGATCAATAACGTAGCACGTGTCAACGTCAAGAGCATCCTGAGAAGTATCGACGGAACATTACCACTGTGAACTTGAGTTCAAGCTCAAGGGGATAGGTGTCAAATTTGAGCCATGGCTAAAGTAATAATATGGGATGGGCATGTGATGCCAATCCAATGCTAATTGCTTGGCGTTTAAACTACAGTTTCATGACTTGCAATTCAAGTCCAACCAAATCCTCCAAATTCCTCCAGGTCACCAAAGAATACAGACAAAGTAAGGTGATTCAATTTTCATGCGTGAATCACATTCATGAGCACTAAAAGCCTAATGGATGGCAGATGTGAACTCATGTGCATTATACTCCTGACATGATTTTTACTGAAAGCATTGATTTTATTTTTATGTTTTTGGCTTTTCTAAAAGACGTTCTTAACTGAAAAATATTTTCAACAAAATTAATTGTCTCAGAAAGATATTAGACTTTCAGCATAACCGAGGTCTAAAGCTTCACACCAAAACAACAAGAAAGGTCTCCAAAAGTAAAATTGGAACAGGATTCTGGCTGTAATAAACAACAGATGCAGATAAGTTACTTAAGCCAAAAGGCTACAAATTATACATTTCAAGGTACTCTACACAATTCTACATCATGATTCTGATCCAAAAAGTACTGCACCAGAAGTACTTCTATGATATATCTATGTATACTAATTTGAAGCACTTTAATGTACTGAAGAAAAGTAGTCCAAAGAAGATGATAGCTGCATATCATAAGCTAATAATCAAACATACTCCTAAGGAAAGCAATTTGGAAGAGTATCAGGGACAAACTTCAACAGCTCCATCAACTATAACAGCATAAAGCACATGAAATTTACCACAAAGTGGATGCCCAGCGAAAGCAAGGTGAATACGAATTTGATGTGGTCTTCCAGACTGGATTTCAACCTACTAAAATGCAACACAAGGCAATAAAATTTTTGAGAAACATGGAAGAGCTAGACTAAATATTTTGGTGAAATAAAAATATTTTGATCTTTAGCTCAGCTGATGACACTGAAAAATGACAATTGAAATCGGCATAAAGGTACAACATTCTGCAACATGTATAATATATACAATAATTATTGTCTATTAAAAAAGCACGAACTTTGAAGTTAAACAGTTACACAACCTAGAAATATGACTGTAATTGAATTAAGCACTCATAGGAGCTTAAATTCTGGGTTTTATCACATTAGACCCCAAATATTTTATTTCTAGATTAGCCCCCAAATCTCTCAAATTGTTCTTTAAAAAAACATTGGTCAGATTTAACTGCAGTTAGTTCTTTTTTACTGTTAAGTGAGTTATGTCCTTGATGAAGCCAACAGTCCAGATTTTTAGCCATTTACTGGGGCAGCTTGGGTGGGGCGGGGGGTGGGGGGGGGTGGCGCGCCGAGTCGGGGGGGGGTGCGAAACACACTGGAGTGATTTGAGGGTATGATCTAGAAGGATGACGATTTGGGAGCCTAATGCTCAATAAATAAAGAATTGAGAGTCTAATATGAACAAAACCCTTTGAATTTTAATTTGGATGCTCTTTAGTAAAAAATTTATGAATAAAATCTTACAACTTAAAGAGCGGAAAAGAGGGCTTTCTTACATGTGCTAGCTATTCCATGAAGCATGAAATTTAGGGTTGCACTTACTCTCACTGTTCCCACTTCACACCATAAAAAGTTCAGGGAGATTCATTTTTATTTTATTTACTAACAAGAAGTTACCGGAAGTAAATAGGATAGGAGAAAACAAAGCAAAGGAAATTACCTTAACGTAACTAACTCTTATCATTAACATGACAATATATTAAGAGGGATGATTACTTCAGGATTTAGAAGCTAACAAAATAAGAGAACAATGAAAAGTTACAATTGCAAATGATGGATAAACCAATCATTACAAATGAGTACCTCCACCCTTGTTTGATTTGCTTCCAGGTCTCTTTCAAGCACACAAACTTTGCTCAGAGACGGTCTGCCTAGTAAAATAAAGAAAAAATACAGACGGGTAAGACATTAGAAGTTGAGGGAATAGCGGCATAACTAAATGGCTAGTAGAATTAAACCACATGACAAGAAATCGAATGTTTGATTAGTCACAAATAATTACTGAAAATAGAGCGGATAAAATATTGAACAGAACAGGTTAATGTTAAGTTATCAACTGCGATCGTATTTTGGGGAATAAAATAAACAAAGGACCCAAAGAGGGTAACTATATCTGACCAAAGTTAAAATGTGAAAACCTGAAGGGGATGCAACATAAAGCCCTGACGCCACCTCTGGGTAATGCATCAACCCAATAGGCTGCCTGATAACAATCTGCAACAAAAAACAAAAAGAAAACTTAACTTCCAGATTGCATGCAGGAAAATTCTTACTGCTTGAAAGCACAGCAAAATATACTTTTAAATTCCATGAGCCACTATACTCTTGAATTGAGTTCATAAGCAAAGAACTGTATATTACTAATAATTTTAAACTTGAAGATAAGACATTGTATATTATGTCATATCTAAATAAAGCATAAGCATTCCGAATGTGTATCTATGTACATTTCAATTCCAATTTATGCTTCAAGAAACAATATTTACTTTATGTGGAAAACATACCCCATCCTTTTCAGGTAAGCCAGTTACCAGTGCTCGATAAAATTTTGAAATTTTCCGTGATTTGCAGTTCTCTGATTCAGAGTTTCTGATAATTCAATGAAAAGTGACCACATATGAGAAGTAGAGAGGAAGCTATAATATATCTAATTCCACGCATAGTAGATACACTCACACCAACATTAGCAAAAGTTAAATTCATGATTCATGAATCAAAACTCAGAGCGATATGATTTTTATTGGTTGCTAGTTACTCTTATGCATTCCCGAAATATTCCACAAACAAAATGTAGAGAAAAAAAGATGATAGTACCAGATCGAAAAGTTTATCAAAAAACTTGAAACCTCAAATGCTTGGAATACCTTGATCCCAAGAACTTACTCAAAATAAAAATGCACAGCTTTGGGAGGTTCCAAATAAATGAAAAGACATACATTTGTTTAATATGACCTACAAGCATTGATCACACCAGAACAAAAGGACATACCTTAGTTTGATATGTACAAGGACTGAAGACACCAAATAAGTTCCAAACAACACCAAATATCAATACCCAAATCAGCCAACAAAATGGCATAGCTAAATAACATCTAGCGTCTAATAACTAATGCCAGGCTATAAGCCCAGTGACATGATTGCATTGCACCTAGTAATAAGTTAAATCGGCAGGTTAATAAGTCTCACCGCCCATCACAAATCCCAACATACTGCATACATGTCATATATGCTGCAACTAGGGATGTTTTCCCAATGTTTTAAATGGAGATAGGAGCTTCTGAACTCTGGACCCAGTGACCAGGTGGATGCTTCCAAGGCACTTTTTTCTTTTATACAACTTTTTTTTGGTGTCGTGTCAAAGTACTTAAAAGTCAAAAAATACAGAAAGATCAGAAAATCAGGAACAATAAGTAGGAGGAAAGAGAAGAAGAGGGGTTATGCCACTGGGATGGCAGATGTAGCAGACGCCAGCTGAAGCAACAGAAGAAGAGAAAGGAGATGAGAGAAGTCGTGCAACATAGTTAAAAAAAATTGAAAGAAGACGATTCAAGATTATACTATTTTAAGCTTCAACTGTACATAGACAATAAAGAAGACTTTTGGAAGTCAACGGTTGTTAGAGAGGCAATCAACATAGAGAAAGGCAGAAAGAGGAGAGGTTGGGGGGAGAATAGGCCAAGAGAAAGGGAGAGGGGAGGCATCACGATTGACCCAACGATTGACCCAATGGTTCAATCATAGTCTTATGCCCCTAGTTGAATTGAGTTGAACAATCTTAATTAGAGGCAGGTTCAACTGGATAAATTCAGCCCCAAACTCATCTTCAGGTGGCATATGCGTTTTTTATATGCATCAGTCCGCTTAATCAAGCCATGAGTGTTAGGTGCCTCTAGTGACTAACTGGGGGTGTCTAGGCCAAATTTAAGTGGCTTGGGTACTGCCTTTGGCTGAGCAGTGGCCTAGATCATGCTCATAAAAGCGTTGTTATCTGCACGTACACACTTAAACAATTAAGAAAGGGTTTTTATACCCTCCACTTCCTCTGTGATATTAAAATGATGCCCCAAATCATTTGAGATATAGTAATTCAACTCCCCAACACTTGTAGTAGTTACCTTTTGATTATGGATAATAAATGGGCAAAATACCATGTATATACCCCTCAGTGCCACCCACCCGATTTGCTAGGGAGTAAAATAAACCAACCCCCTCATGTCATCTCTCTCTTTCCTGTGAATCGATAGAATTGATAAAACATAAAAAAAACAAAGAAATCCCCTATTTCCCTTTGTTCCATCTAGCTATCATCAAGATCTCGTTGTCATTGTATAAAACACTCCCGTCACTGAACTTGCCCCCTCTTCCCGACTCCCACACCCCAAGTCTCTCCCCTTTGTGCCAAATAGTTGCTCCCCTGCTCCTAATTGACCAAAATGTTCCAACCTAGAAATTACTCCCGTTTCCTCCAATTCACCCTTAAAATAAAAATATTGTACTTTAATCTATAGCCAGCTTTTAATGCATGGGATTTCTAGATGCAGCTGAACCATATCAAAGCTACAGAGGGTGAGTTCTAGAGGTGAATGCACCTCATGGAATAAGGTAGATTTAAGTTTCTTTCTACTTGATGAAGAACTAATTCTTTAGAGAATTAATTTAAATTTTTTTATTTATTTATATTCGTGGAAATTTTGTTAGCTAATGTTGTTGAACTAATCCACTTTTGTGTTCTTTAGAGCTCATGATATGCTAGTGCATGCTCTTGTTGTTTGTATATTTTACAAAAGAGTAGTGATAACTTTACACTATACTACTACACACAAAAAGTGGGACTTTTCATGTAAACTGCAAAGGCAAATTATCAGTTGCTATGGACTCCACTTCTTTGTGTATAGTAGTACAACTCTTGTAGTACATTTGGCATTTTCCTTCACAAAATCCAAACTTGCATTGGCTTCTTAGATGGTTCATGGATTGTTGGTCTGATGTAGTAGGCGCTATATAACAAGAGCCTGACTAGTGTGTTCGATGAGATTCAGCTTAGATCTGTGGGGATTTGGAGATAAGGCTTTCTGTTTATAAATGCAAGGCATGATATTTGGAAACCATAAAATGTATTTTGATTGTGTAACATATTATTTTAGAGTGTAAATACCGGTCATGTTAGATGCTGGTCATACGATTTTGTCAATTTTTCATATGGAACCTTGTGCTACTTTGCAATCCCATTTTGATGGGAAAAGGCTTAGATAATGGTGATGATGGTGAGAATGATAATTATTTGACAGTAGAGGTGTAACACAAGCAGACCTGCTTGAATGAAATCCTTATATACTAAGTACTGCTGTTTTTTCAAAATCTGTTGATGGAATGGATAGGGAATGTGCTACAACAAGGTATTCCAGTATAATAAGAACAAGAGATGAACCTTTAACTGCCATAACTCAGAATACAATGGTGAAAGTAGGACAATAGCCAATAAGAAAATTATTATTAAAAACCAACATGATAACTGTATTACATATTTATGACATACAATAAGTTAAAAAGGAGTATTTACTTCACCTACTATCTCCGACAACCAACGTACCCTTGGCAAAATATTCAGCAAGGCAAACTTTTGCCTGTTTGGTCTTTGCGCAAAGTAGAATACCTGGGTCCAAGTTAGGAGATAAACCACTAAATGATGAAATAGACAAACCAAAATTTTGAGACAGAAAACACAAATTGACTGAAAACGTCCACAATAAAAAAAATATAAGACTACTTTATCAGTAATGAAATTTGCAGACTGACTTTTCCATGTTATATATTTCAAACACCCACCTTATCATTTACTTTCTCAAGAAGGGAAACCGAGGAAGACAAACTAGTTAAAAAGGATTTCACTATAATTTAGTATGAATACTGTTTCTTAGCTAAAATAGAGGGCTAGTTACAACTTTCTATACCCTTCTATGCAAACACTTTTTCTGCAACAGTATTTGACATATAACAGATATTACTTATAGGAGCTCCAAGCACACGATAGAGGATGAATCAATCATGTCACTGTAGGGAGGGGGAGAAAACAAAATGAGCAAATTCTGCATTAGTTTTCAATTTTCAGTTTCCTATATTTTAAATGTGGTTTTCTTCCCCTCCTCTATCTATAACTTCTGCTGCTTTTTCTGCTTCGTTTTGCCCAACTCTCTGTCCCTTGTTCAAAAGATAGTCTGCATCAGAGCAGAGGAATATTGCGTCAACTGCTGTAGCAAAATAGCAGAAAACAGGAAAATAGTATCTGATCACTACAGTCATTTCAGCCTCTTTCGAAATAAACCTGGATCACTTGTTGCTCAATCATTATGCATCTTACCAATTAATATAGAGATCACACGTTCCATCTTTCAACTTACCCACTCATTTCTCACATCGATTCTTCCTCCACAGATGCAAGTGCAAGTTCACACGATCTTCATCATTCGATTCAGCCACTATTTTCAAACAAAAATACATCAATAGCCACATATGTACAAGTAGTTTCTGAGATCTACCCCACAGGAAGATATGCATAAAAGATGTCAAATATATGATTGTGTCTTCACTGCCTTATTAATGTGTTCTTCAAGAAGATGGTGACTATTCCTAAAAATTAAACATAACCAGTTTACAAACATAATGAGATAACCAGTCGGCAAACATGATGAAACGTCTTTACTTTAAAATGTACAGCTTCAAGGCATTTAAACCACTATTAGGCTATGGTGCTGAGAATACATTGTGTCAATGACGACATTGATGAGGCTCCAACAAACATTGAAAACAATTGAAGCACAGGAAGAAACGTCCCTAAGATCCCAACTAAACAATAGTGTAGATTAAGAATACGACAAGTGCACTAACAAACTTAACTAGAGTAGCTAACTTAAATTTTGCATGGAAAGTAAACATTTTGCTGAGAGATATTCTTTACTGGATTAACCTGTTTAAAACTAATAAAGGATAAACCTGATGTTCCCCTCCCCAAGCGATGAACAGGTGCAGGATGTGCTTCTTCTTCAGCATACTTGGTAGAATAGGATGAATTCGTTCTCCATGCTTTCCATTGAAGTTGTCTCAGAACAGTCCGTTGCTGGAATAACCCTCCAGGTAGAACTTGTAGACCAGAAGGTTTATTTATGGCAACCTACAAAAAGTGAAAATAAATAAATAAATGATTCATAAAACAAAGATAACAATATTTCATGACAAGTTAAGCAACCAGATCTCACAATGCATGCACTTTCTTGACTATGAGCAGAGTATATCATACTTTATATACATCATCAACACTTGATGCAACTGAGACTTATCTCAGCAGCGGAGGGTCCTCTAGTCACTTTACATCAATTGTAGTAAAAAAGAGATACCTCGAAGATCTAAAGACAATGTGACACAAAATTGCTTTTGCTCCTTGCCCCCATTCTTCCTTTCTCAAGCTCCAATCTTCTTAATATCAACAAATGTGGTATCAGAGCGTTAACAGGTGCCTCATACTGCAATGACTCATGTTTTTTGCTTCACATTCCAAGAACATATAGTGCGAACCCTAAACTAACTTCTTCTTGCACTCCAGCTAACCCAGTATTCCCTCTCTCATTTTTTTTCTTATTCTTTCATGCAATGGGTTACATCTAATACATATGCCTTCCATTTTTTACCAGATCTTGCTTATTGAAAGAGAGTTAGGGAGTTCAATGTGTTAGTTATGATTTTATCCAAGAAAAACTTCAAAAGCCTTATGGAAGATCACACAAGTTTGGCATTTATGGCTGAATTTAGCACTTGGTGGTACTGGCTGACTCCAGCTCTAGCCCAAAATTTTAAAAGAATTAGTTGATAATGACTGAGAACCATGTAGGGGCACTTCACCACTAGCCTTTTTTTTGGTTGGGGTTGGGGGGTTGGGGGATGCCAAACTCATATACCAGGTATGCAATGTTGTAGTTAAAATCTTGATGCGACTCAAAAAGGTGATGGGCCTCCCTCAAACCTTCAAGTCCTACACTCTTATACCTCTAGCCAGATGAGCTACGGAATAATGGAAGAGTTGTTCACCTTATGCTGGATGGTCGGTAAGATTTTCATTGACTAGGATACCCCTGTCATAGCATTATTTTGATGGATTTCCTATATGGGTACTGGTAGACATTCACACCACGGTGACTTGGTCTAGAAAGACTTTACTTCATATACCATATATGAAATTCAAGAAAAACAAATCAATATTATAATTGAACACCAGTCAAACTAACAAATGCAAATTGATGCTCCAAGATGGTAGATGTTCATGTATCAGTATGCAAATTTTTGTTTTACATGAACATGCATGCTAATACACATCCATGTGAAGAAGATTTTCCTGTACAAAACAATCATAATTGGAACCCAACTTACGCTTTTGTATTTTTGTATTAACTTACTGTTGTGAATGTAGAGGTGTTGTTCAACGCAATGCATATTAGTTATTAAGTTAATACTCAAGATACACCAATACATTTTATTAACTAGGCATGTTATGAATAAAGTAAAAAAAAAACCCCTCAAAACCCATGAGAACTCTTCTTCAAATCTCCAAGTTCAACTCTTTAGTGGATCGCAAGACTCTCTCACAGCCTATTTATCCAAAAAAACAAAAACAAGAAACCCAAAAAATGCAAAGAGAGTAAGGAACTACTATAGCACTACTCCACATCTAAAAGGACAAATATTATGTTCAGGAAAGAAAAGAAAAGGAGCTGCAACCCTTATTTAACAGTAAATTAAAAGCAAAATTAATAAGCTAGCATTTAACTACCAGTATAACCAAGGAATTCACCAGTCTTATATCATTCCAAAACTCAGATCTTATGCAAGAATTCTAGCCAGATAACAAAAGCAAGCATTTGGTACCATACACATAATACTTGAAAAGATCTATCTACCTGGCAGGCTGGTAGCACCTGACTTGTGTACATGTAAAGAAGATATGGGCATCACAAACATTCTGCACTTATCACCTAATTTTTTCTTTCTATTCAAATAAAATCTAGCTGGGTTCCAAATCTTAAGAATGAATTTGGCATTTTAATTGAAGTAGTAAGATAGATAACTATAACAAACTCCAAAAATTAGTTTCAGAATATTCCTCATCTCAACAATGATTGAATTGCAAGATAAAATAAAGGTTTCATGATATGATGAATGAACATTGGATTTTTTTTATCTTTTATATTTTTAATTTTATTTTTATATTTTTTATTGTTATATTTTATATTTTTATTTTTATATTCATTTTTTATTTTTTATTTTATTATTATTATTTTCTTTAAACCTCTGTGAAGCACCTAAAGGGTGAACTCTACTTCCACAACCAGTGGAGGTTTGATGGATCATTGGATCCCCAGAGAAAGGTGGCACCAACGTGTTTATGTTGCACCTGCTTTCACTCAATCCCTAGAGTCTCTACTGTCTTATTTTTTTCTACATGTGCATCCTAGTGTCATTCTTTGGATTCAATATTTCAACTTAAAATGGTTACTAAGTTCAATAATTTTGATATATCTAAGAGCCTTCCAGCTTCAACCACAGTAAAATAAAATATTAAAAAAAGCAAAACTAGATTTTCCTAAAATTCACAAATGTCTTATCTGTCGATCAAAATTTTTGAGAAAACTAGATGTTACATTGAAAACTCTAAACATAAATATAACAATTTCTAAAATGCTTACCAAGTCTTCATCTTCGTAAAGGACTTCTAACAAGTAAGGCACATTGGGTTCTCTCCAAGGCAGACGACAGTAGATTACTTCACAACCAACGCTGAACATGAGAAGTAGGATAGTGAAGATTAAAAAGAACAGAATTGAAAATTGCACATAATTTGATGGCATAGAGAGATGGAGAGAGTTGGTGTTTTCCATTTATATCTACTGAAAAAATCACTATTTAGTACAAAGAATAAAGCTGACTACAAAAGCTAAAATTATGTGTTATACATGGATTTTGTTTATTAGAATCACTTATTCATTTAGCAGTACAGACATACGATATTCACCAATAATGTCGGGGTCAAGCAAAAAAAGTTCAAATACTTGAATAAAAATTCAAGTGTAATTGAGAATTCTCTGCGAAGTAAAAAAGTAATAAGGGCCTGGAGTAGGTTAGCTATAGGGAAAATAAAAATAAAAATCATCAAGGAACTCTTTGGGTAGACAAGGATTGAAACAAGTCCAATTCACGTTGGGAAAAATATTCCGCCTGAATTTAGAAAATTTCACATCGTATGAGGTGGGTCCATTAATTGTACCCAATCTATACTTATGTTTCCCACCAGATCTTTTGTTTTAGCTTGTGCTCAACGAAATCCTCTAATATCCTTAAACATTATCACACCTTAAATAGTGATGTCCTCTTTTATTAAATCATAGTCATTAAATTTCTAACATACCTAAGTGGTGGTGCTCACCTCAATTTAATTATATACAATCAATTTCTAATACACCTAATTGGTGGTTCCTGCCAAATTTTCAATTAGGTAATTCAGTTCAGAAAATCTATACTATTATATAATGAAAATAGTGGGGGTAGCAAAAGTTAGATGAATGGTGGACATTTTCCTCTCTCTTATTATAATTTGGAGGATAAGATGGTAATTTTGCAAGATTTCCCTTTCCTTTCTTTTCATTCTTATTTCTAGAAAATTCTAAATCATGACATGAGAATACACACATAATTAAATTGCAATATCCCAAATTTTCTTTTTCTTTTATTTCATTTTAGTCACTTACTCTAATTATATTATCCTCAATTAGGAAACTACTCAACAAAATTGTGTTAAGGATAGATTTAATTGATAAATAATAGTTTAAGATACATTTTCTATGTAGAGCTCCATAGTAAAATTGCATAAATTAAATCATCATCAAACTATTAAATGAAAATGTATGACTAATCATAAAACTGAATATTTTTGTACATGCGATGCACGAGCCAATATGCTAAACAAAGAAAAAATACTCATGTAATTAATACTACCTAGGACCTGCAACCAGCAACAATGAGCAAACAATTTCAGAATATTATGTGTTGTGTGTGTGTAAGTTTGTGTTTGTGAACAATTACAATAACATTATAAGAGACCCAAGAACAGATATAATAAAACAAATCCCCCTCTAAGTCCCCCTCTGCTCCTCTATGATCCAACGCTATTTGAGTTAATAGAACATTAGAGTTATTACTATTAGTTTAGCTGTAAAAGAAGAGTTAAGATAGAGTCAGGAAAGTTGCATAATATTTGCTTTGTACTTATCTATTCCATTACAGGTAAAGCCCAGCAATCTCTCTGAGATGAGTCAGATTTTCCAATCTAACATGGTATCAAAGTAAATGTATGAGCGAAAGAAAGAGAGGATGTCTTTATATCAGACTTGGGTCAATATGTGTCCATATATCAATTGAGCACACCCACCCACCCACCCACCCAAAAAAAAACAAAAAACAAAAACAAAAACAAAGGGAAAGGCATAAATTTATTTCCACATGGCTGTTGGCTCCATCCGAGAAGTTGATTTAAGAAAAGGATAACAAAATCCCAGCTAGTTTATACGACAAGAATGCTATACATGAGAATCTGGACCAATGTATAAAATTTTTTATGAATTTATCAAAAACTACAAACTAAGAAATTGAGACTAGAAAAAGGCTCCAGATGTTCACAGATGAATATATGCCAAATAGGCAAATAGTAAGTCAAGACATATTGTTGCAACTCAACTTTCTCTTCTCAAAAAGAAGAGACAATATTGTACCAATGCAGTAGGCACCAATAACAGTAAATGGTGTTTCTACAATGTTAATCAACCATATCAGATAAAATCCCAAAACATAATGTGCATTATTTTCAGGGCAAAGAAATACATAATTTATTCCAAAATATGCATTTCTTCCAAAATAATCAAGTGAATTTCCGGAAAGAGTTACCTGAGAACAGTATCCGGATCAGTAACCACATCTCCATCGACTGTAATCTTTTGAAAAAACAATAAAGTAATAGCAGTCAGAGCCACAAAGACTAAAACCCAAATAAATTGCAAATCTTCAGTATTCAGCGCACCTGCCCTTTCTTAATTCTCTGCATCCAACTGTTCACCGGTTCAGACAAAGAAACAAACAGTTAGCGCGCAATCGAGAAACGCCGCCAAATCAAGAAAACTCAACGATTTGGAGACAAATTTACCCTTGCAATGGAGCGGAGTTCTTGTACTTGGAGGAGTAGAACTCGATTAGGGTCTTTCCTGCAAAACGAAATTAGGGGGAAATATTTTTTTTTTTAAAATGGCAGCAAATAAAGGAAGGAGAAGAGAAGAGAGACACCAGAGTCGATGGATTTGATGATGTCGATGTAAGAGACGCCTTCATTGAGCTCAGGCCATGGAATTCCAAAGGAGTAGGGTGGACGAAGGATTTGATCCGATGAGGAGGAGGAAGAAGCAGCAGCCATTGTTTTCTTCACCGAACGCGGGGTGTTTGGGGCTTTTGGAGAAACCTCGGTGTTTTTATTTTTACGTGGGCTTAAATTTGGGATGAGTTGAGCTTATTGGGCCTGGTGATTATTAATATGGGCTCGCAACCCCAGTAATATTTGAACGGGGTTATCCTTGATAATGTTTTTATTCTATTAATTGAGGTGTTCGATGGAGTAGATCTAATCGAATACTTCATGTTTGTGAAAAACTATGAATTTTGAGTTGGAATTTTCTTTCCCCTTTTTTTTTTTTTTTTTTGAAAACTATCTTGCAGTTGGACGACTTATAACAAATAAAAAAAATGCATCTTACATTTTACAGGATACCTCTTATGTTAGGTGGGGAAAAAATAAAGGAAAAAACACCTGACGTTTTAAAAGTTAAGTGGCATGACGAGCATTGATTTCTTCATGATAAATCAAGAACTTGCTACTACATGTGATAATATATATTTATATAAATACTAGTTTGCCTTGTGTAATTTCTACTTAATGACACAATTATGTTGAATAAAATAACACCACACAAAATGAGATATTAGAGAAAACCATATATTTTATTTAAAAAATAATGAAAATCGACCATATTGCTATGTTTTTGCTAAGACAACTTAGTACTTGCAACAAATGACTTTTTCAGCAGAAAAGCTTGTCATAATGTTGTTCATGTTGGGATGACATTAATTTGAAGAGCTTTAGATCTTTAAGGGGTGGGAGTCCGACGCCTGCAGACAAGTTTCACTAGGATGAAGATGAAACTTTTTGGTTGAGGGCAATAGTTAGTATTGTATACGGATTTCATATTTCGTTACATTTATTGGTTTTTATACTACGATGTAATTTATAAGATGTTGTATTTACAGAAAAATATAGCAGCTAAACAATTGCTATTAAACTGTTCGTCGGTTTGTACGTAGTTTCTCACGTGCTTCACAGCCATAACTTTGCTCTTAATACTCATAGGTACTGTTTGGCAAAGGGTTAAGTGAGGGTTTAAAGAGACTTAACCCCTTCTTAACCCTCCAAACATAAAAAATCTATACAATGGTTAAAGTGAGTTAACCCTCCATAATTTGTTAAACATAAAAAATATAGAAGGGTTAAGCTAACCCCTCTAGAGAGATTAAAATGAGTTAACCCCTCAAAATGAGGGGTTTACTAATACTCCTATTTCAAAGGATTAAGAGTTAACCCTTCCAATTATAAAGAAAATAGTCAAAATCATTGTTATTCCCAAACACTAAAACTGATCACAATGACTAAAATAAAACTTATTTAACGGGTTAATAATTTTGTCCTTCAGATTATCGAATGAGCTAAGTACATTAATCATTCTCTTTAACTCATCTTACTTAACACTTTGTCAAACGAGGCCTTAGTTTATTTTCACATATAATGATACTTAAATCAACTCTTTATTCTAACTAATCAAGTCAATGAATGAAACTTTGGAAAAATTTTCCCGAGAATGAAGAGGGTGGTCAAAAGCTGACCAGCTCCTTTAGCAAGGCATTTAATTGTGATTTAATAACAACGATACAAATTTCTTAAAATTCTTAATTTTGTAGAATATATGCTAGACAAACTAGCCGATGTAAGAGAGTATTGCACAAATGTGAACACGTAGTCGTCCAATTAGATACGTTCCTGCAAGATTTACACCTGTTGGGTTTGTTACAACTTATTTGAAAAGATTTTGAGTTTATTTTTCCTATCATTTTACTTATCTCATCTTTAGGGGCTGTTTGGTTCGCTATTATAAGGGGTGAAAAACTCAGAAAACCCCTCCACGTCAGATTTTTAGCCCTCCACGTCAGCTTTTTTGTTTCCGTCCGTTTCTTTGTGCCGTTTTGGCTCGCTCGAATGGAAGAGGGAAAACTCTGCTGAAATCGCCGCCAACTAAGATTTTTTTCCCTCTCCGATTTCCTTCCCTAACCAAGTGAAATTGATGAAAACTCTGCCACGTCAGATTTTTTTTCTTTCTCTGCTTTGTTTACAAAAGTTTTCCTTTTTTTTCTATGCGAACCAAACACAAAAAAAATAAATACATTGGTTTCCCACTATTTTTTATGTGCGAACCAAAGCAAAACAATTTATTTTTTGGAAAAGTTTGGAAAACTCAAAACTTGTGTTTCTTTACATGGAATTACATTTCTCTATATCAAGGAAATGAACCAAACAACCCCTTAATTTCTTTTAGGGCATGTTTGGTACTTTTCTAGAAAAAAAATGGGAAAACAGAAAAAAAGAAATGAAATGATATCAAGACATTTCCAGGGGGTTTCCCAATTTTCATTTATTTTGTTTGTTTCACATTGCAATCAACCCCTTGAAATGTACTTCTTTGTTTCCACATGTTTGTTTGACCACTCTAGAAATAAGAAATCATTCCCCCATTTACATTTCCATTTCGAATGTTTGGTATGCACAAATACCTCAACCTGAGAAGAGTTGAATCCCAAAACCATGGTGAGCTTACCGCTCCCAAAGTAGTACACATGAATTATCCCAACGGTACACAATGCAACGGTCATTTTTTAAAAACCGAGCAGAACTAGAGCTGATAACACTCTTCAAACAAGCTATATATTGTGTTGGGTGAGTTTGTTCCAGTTGCAACAAAGGCAGAAGCTCCAAATAACTAGAGCCTCTTCATTTTGGTTCATTCTTCAAGAAAAAATTCCCCAAGGGCCTTCTTCTTTGTCAGTGCTTAGCCATGGTTGCTGCCCAAAGAGGTATGAACAAATCTCCTGAGGTAAAATGCTTATGCAATATACCAACACCATTGAAGCCCAAAGAGGTATGAACAAATCTCCTGAGGTAAAATGCTTATGCAATATACCAACACCATTGAAGCTGTGTAAAGTAGGTTCGAACAAGGGCAAATATTTTTGGGGTTGTGCCAAATACCCGAATAGATCATGCAAATTCTTTAGGTGGGCCGAAGATGATAAAGAAATCAAAAATAGTAAAACCAGAAAAGAAGAAGCCTCTCCTCAATCAGTGTCGGAATTAAAAGATCTGGAAAAAAAGCATTTGTGAAGAGAATTGAAGCATGCAATACAACAAGTTGAATATTTGAAAAAATGTATTACAGTTTTAGGGCTATTCAGTATTTTCCTTGTTCTTGTAAACATTGTAATCTGCACATTGAAAATATAATGAGAATGTAATGTGTAATCCGTATGGATATAAGATATAATGCAACTCAACATTTTCTGTTTTTTGTAAAACAAGGCTATTCCAATACTTAACAGGCATGTAGCTGCAAGCTCCTGCATATATTCATCAGGAGAGAATGTTAAGCAATAGTGCTCAGGTCTACGTCAACTTCATCACATATTCGGCCCCAGCAAACGATAGCATGACAATGTTGGCTGCATTCCATAGTTTGGACTGCCTCGCCATAGCATCGCATGCAATATTTACTGGTTTGGAATATCAGAAAACATGACGTTCATCACTGCACAAATGGGGACTGAGCAAAACAGAAAAACCAGAACACAACAAATTCTCAATGTTTAACCATCTGAAAGTTTTAAAAAATTCAGCAAATGATAGGGTTTCCAGTAGTTAGGATTTTTAGCATCCACATGACCACATCACCTGTTATATTTGATGCTTATCTTGTTTTTCTTTTGCATTCATAACTTTTGCCAACAGGATTATCCTTGACGTATGTTGTGTACAGATAGTGTGACCATCACTATATTATTATAAGTTTATAGCAACAAAGGCCTGCATGCATGTGTAACACACACAAAAAAAAAAAGCTTCATTCACATATCAATGCCCAGTGTAATCATATGTATTATACATCTTTCTACAGACAACAACATAGGCAGTCTTACGTGGACAACAATTTGTAGAATGTGATTTGGTATGTGTTTTCAAAGACGCATTATGAAAGTGCAGTGTGTACCCATAAATAAGACCAAGTGGCTTTAGCAAGTGTTTCAATGCACAAGTGTGTACCCATAAATAAGACCAAGTGGCTTTAGCAAGTGTTTCAATGCACAAAAGACTCAAAGCAACACAAGAAAACAACACAAGATACCAGCGTGGCTTTAGCAAGTGTTTCAATGCACAAAAGACTCAAAGCAACACAAGAAAACAACACAAGATACCAGTAGTTTGTACCTAGAACTTGAACGCAAAGTAGTTTATAAGCAGACAAAACATTCAAAATAGCATAAGGCAACAACACATATCCATAGAGATATCCATCCATAAATAGCAGTGAGCCCAAATGAGAGGATCAAGTTTTGAGCTCAAATAGGAACCTACTTCATCACATATTCATCCTCAACAAACAAATACATGACAATGTTGGCTGCATACCCGATAATACTAGATTTTTCATAGCTGAATAATGGGATGTTGGGACTGCCTCGCCAACTGATTGTCTGCACTAATTGCTGGGGAAGAATATCAGAAACAAGCCCCACAGATCATTACATATATGTGACTGGTCGATTTTTCCCAAAAACCCATCAACAGCCATGAGTCACAATGGGTGAAGCTATATGTGCACCACTAGCTTAAATGCATTAGGCATAGATAAATCATAAAGTGGTGCAGAGTGTCAAATCAGATCAAGAGCTCCCAGAATGTTTCTGTGGAGCATGAGTCACGTGCTCTCAAAGCAATTACAGACATACCAGATATCCAAGTCTTAACAACAAAATAGCCTCATGTTTTTTATCCGACACAAATCTATATGGTAATAGGGACCTCCCACCGGTCCTGCAAAATACATAACCAATCAGCAAGTACGAATCAAAATGGCTGCATAAGTATAAAAGCACAAGTGTAAAATCCTACCGGAACCCACCCTTATTTACTCCCCCCTCCTTGCATCTGCATGAAACTGTCCAAGATAGCCCTTTGGCCGAAGTCACTCTTACCTATGAAATGCCTCGCATTGGTTTTGTTTTCAAATGTGGCATCATAAAAAAGCTCCAGGACTTCTATAGGGTAAGTATCTTTGTGCCTAAAGATGGTTGTTGACAATT